GCGGGTCTCTGTGAGTCTGCGGGTCTCTGTGTGAGTCTGGGTCTCTGTGAGTCTGTGGTCTCTGATCTGTGGGTCTCTGTGTTTCTAAGGTTCATTGTCGGAATTTACGGATCTATAGACTCCATAGCCCTTCCAATTACATCTTCTTTCTCTATTCTCAACACATGGCCAAACCACCTAAGTCTCACTTCCTTTTCCTTTTGAATAATATTCGTAGCCACCAAGGCCACGGAGAGGTCCCTGGAGGACTGCGATAGAACGCCACGAGGGAGCACTCTTCTCCATGAGCCACACAACAAACACAGGACACGTGCGGGACCCTCTGTTGTGTGGTGAGCACGGCCCTCTTTGTTTGCAGAGGCTCACGGTTGAAAGCCCCTGGCATGCCGCCCTGGTTATTGCTGCAGGTGCATTCACCGTAAGAAAAGTAATGTGCTCGCCACCCGCTTCACATTCACAGTGGACGCTATAGATCCCCTGACGTCATTCAACACAAGCGGGCAGTCGTGTGCCCGGCGTCACGGTCCTAATTCTTTCATTGAATTAGCAAAAATTCAACCGCAAATGTCTGCGTTGGAGTTGCGCGTGGCAACGTCGGCCCCTGCCGGGTTATACTATCAATATATATATAATAAGATTAATCTTACCTGGCATTTAACTCACGACGTCCTGCGGAAGGCGGTTGATTGCTCTGTCTCGGCGCGGAAGCCTTGCCGAACGATAACGCAAATACCGAATGTAAATAAAATACTCATTATTTTAATTATGATCAGTTTTGACAATATGTGTATTCGTGCCCCTCCTCCTGTCTCTCTTTCCCCCCCCCCCTTCCCCCACCCCTTCCTACCCCCCCCCCCAAACATCTCTGCCCGGGCGCAGGCCAGGCCGGCTGGGCGAGGTGCGTCTGGTGACGGCGCGGCCGGGCTACGGCGCCGCGGCGGCGGGCTGGGTGGAGCAGTGCTCGTGCCCGCCGGGCTACCGCGCCTGAGCTGCGAGGCGTGCGCCCCGGGCCACCGGCGCGACCCCCCCGGTGGGGGGCCCCTTGCCACCTGCGTCCCCTGCAGCTGCCACGGCCACAGCGGCTCGTGCCACCCTGAGACCGGTGCGTGCCAACGCCGCCGCCGTCATCGCCGCCGTCATCACCGTCACAACGGGCACCGCCGTCACCACTGCCACCACCGTCACCACTACCACCACCGTCACCAATTCCACCACTGTCACCACTGTCACCACTGTCACCACCGACACCACCACCACCGTCACTACCGCCACCGCGATGTTCCTGCCGCCACTACGGCCCAAAACGCGACAGCTCTCAGCAGGGTTTTCACTTTTATTTTCAAAGGCCCAAAATGTAAAGCGGCCAGTAACAAACAGCACGTTCAAAGTTTTAAAAGTACACAGGTTGAACTTTTTTCGCACCGTACGTAGCCAACCGTGCTAATCGGAGGTGCGGGGGGAAGGGCAACAGACTAAACACAAAAAGCAGTTCTGACGAAATCAGTTCATGCCTCTTGGTAAAAGTGTAACACGTTGTTTAAGTTGGGCAAGGTTTTGTTATAAGGGCTTAGGGAATAGACGACGATGGAGGAGGGAATTCCATAGCGGAGCAGTGCGAGGGAGAAGCAGAAAGAGAAGTGAGGTGACCTGCGGCGTGGTGAGTGAGGATGGGTGATGAGTGAGTGAGCGAGTGGTGGGTGAGTTCGTGATAGAAAGCATTGTAGTAGCGTGCAGTGTGGCGGTGGTGGTTGAACACAGTGTGGTGGTGGATGAGACGAAACAGCCGGTGTCTGTAAATAGACCGAGTCCTCGACTCAGGTGGAGGAATCAGTGAGTTGAGTTCACGGGAACGGTAACCACGGTAGTAGCGACAGTAGTGACAAGGGAGTGGCTGGACCGCTGATGAGCGAGTAACAAGCGAATCGGGGAATGCTTGCATCATCAATCGCCGGGCTGTTTTTCGTGAAAGTCCATCCAGACCCGCAGAGTGCACGAGCGGGGAAGCTTCTTCTCTCCGTGGTGGCCGAGCGGTACCGCGTTCGCCGGTTCTCGCAGATTGTTGACGGCGCTTCGAGCCTCGCGGCCGCCCTGGTTAATCCTGCGGTGTGTGTCTGTATCAACCACGTCCCGTCCTGCTTCTGGGCGGACATTCGAAAAGAGTAGGCCATCGTGTGCCGGCGTCAACGGTTCAAATGTTTCCACATTTTAAGCATTCCCGGCAGATCATTCGAATGGAATCGCACACAGCAACACCCAGGCCCCTTGCCGAAAAACCGCGGCAGGCTGTGCCTGTGGCACACAGCGCCTTCGTGACGGTGGCCCAGTCAGGGTTAGGGTTAAGGTCATGGTTAGGGTCAGGGTTAAGGTCAGGGTCAGTGTTAGCACGGTGGACGTCCAGCTGTCTGTACGGCTCATTGGTCGATTGCTGTGATGTGTGCATGTGCCCTGCGTGTGTGTCCTGTCTGTGTGTTGCGCATGTGTGGTTTCTGTGTATGCGTGTACATTTTGAGTTATATGCACGTGCATGTGTGTGCTAGCACCACACCACGAGTGCGTGTGTGTGTGCGGCTTGTGTGTGTTCCACGTATTGGGTCTTTCGGTAAAGTCACGTTGATAGGTTCAAAGAAAATAACAAACGTGTGTCTTTGTTGCGCTGCGCGCCATGCCGTGTGTGTCCGCGTGCTTCCTGTGTGCTGTGCATGTGTGTGTTGTGCTGCTGCGCGTGTGTTCCACGTGTGTGTGTGTGCGTGTGCTGCTGCGTGTAGGTGCGTGCGAGTGCCAGCACAACACAGCGGGGCGTCGCTGCGAGCAATGCGCCGCCGGTTTCTACGGCGACGCGACGCGCGGCCGCGCCGACGACTGCCGCGCGTGCCCCTGCCCCCAGGGCTCCACGTGCGCCCTCGTGTCCGGCGAGGTCACGTGCACGCGCTGCCCCCAGGGGCTCACGGGTAAGCACTAAGACAAAGATCCCTCCCGCGTAGCCTTGAACGCTGTCAGGGCAGGTGCCGTTTGCGAGCGCGTACCAACGTTCACCTGCGTGCGTACGTGTATGTTGAACTTCTTTTGCAACGTACGTAGCCAAGCTTGCTAATCGGAGATGCCTGGGAAGGACAACAAACTAAACACAAAGAGTAGTTTGACAGAAATGAGCTTTCAATATATCGGAAGGAAGAGCGTTCCAGACGGCCACAGAAGTGCATCTGAAAGAGCGTGAAGCAGTGGGCGTCTTTTGTCGGCCTGGCTGGTACGTGGCTGAGCGTGCCGGCCAGCACATTTGCATGCTGGCGTCACCCTCCAGCCTCACCCACCCTCCACCCCGGCTGCAAATGTTCGGCCAGTGTGTGAGTTGTTTTTGTTACTGTTAAGAGTTTCTCCCAATTTTATCCCCATTGCACGATCGGCGTCACGGTCACGAGACCTAGTAGGCAATTAGGATCTCTCACAGGGTGGGAGTGCAACCCTCGGTGTTGGAGAAATGTCCACGGGAAGCGGATATCCCAGAAGCTACCTGAGATACCTTAAAGTGACATTTCTCGTCAACATTTCTTGTCAACTGACAGCAGAAGGCAGCACTTTCCCATTCGCTCTGCACGTGAGCGTGAGGTCCATCGCCTGACGGTCGGAATCCGAGTTTTTAATCTAGATGAGTTAAAAGTGCACAAAGCTTCAGTGGCTTTCTAATATCAGAAGGAAGAGCGTTCCAGACGGCAGCAGAATTGCATCTGAAAGCGCCGTGCGATGCGGTGACCGCCGTATTCGTTTGGTAGTTAGCCAAAAGCCGCCGCTGCAAGGATGACCGCCGGGGTTCACGTGATGATGTTTCATGCCCCTCGACGAGATCAGCGAGGTATCGTGGTTCATTCGTGATGATTGCGACCTCATAATGCGTTCGCTCGGTTGTTTGACTTGCATCCCACTGGGATTTTTGCACACAGCGTTGGTGTACGGTGTTTTTTTCTGCAATATTTTGCTGTCTTTTCTTGGATTTTCTGTTTGCGCTCAGTTACATATTCACTTTAAGATGTTTTTGTTCATGTTTTCGTTTTTTGTTTGTTGCGGTTGCACCCGATTCAAGAGCCGAATGGCTCACAGGGCTATACCTAATAAATGAACTTGAAATGAACTTGAACTTGAACCCAATGCGGTGAGCCCACAGTGCGAGCGACTCCGTGCGTCTCACCTGTCCGCCCTCCACCACCCATCACCGCTAGGCAAGCGCTGCGAGCTGTGCAGCGACGGCTACTTCGGCGACACCGTGGGGGCGGAGGGCGCCGCGGTGAGGCCGTGCCGTCAGTGCGAGTGCAACGGCAACGTGGACCCCAACGCGGTGGGCAACTGCGACCGGCGCACGGGCGAGTGTCTCAAGTGCACGCGCAACACGGCCGGCTTCTTCTGCGACCGCTGCCGCGACGGTCACTACGGCAATGCGCTGGCGCCGGGCGACGGGGACAAGTGCCGACGTGGGTTCGCGTGACGAGCACACGCACACGCAACACAAACCTGTACGCACGTGACATGCGCGCATCATACACAGGCACGTGCACGCACACGCGGCGTACGCGTAACTCACGCGTCCCCCCCGTGTGCCGTCGTGCGTGTGCGCAGCGTGCGCGTGCTCCCGGTGGGGCACGCTGGGAAACCCCGATGGCTGCAACGTGGTGACGGGTCAGTGCGAGTGTCGACCCCACGTGACCGGGCGCGACTGCGGCCAGTGCCTGCCCGGCTACTACGTGTCCCCCGACGGCAACGGCTGCGAGAGGCGAGTGGCAGCCACCTTCCCACGATGCACCGCTGCGTTGCTGCTGTTGCTGCTGCTGCCTTGCAGCTGTTTCTCGACTCTTGCTCTCCCCCCGCTTCCTACTTGGACTTGTCCACCACCCGGTGTATTAGTTCGTCCGTCTGGCTCGTCCGCCTGCTCACGCACCCGACGAACCAGTCACCCGCTTGTTTACTCACCCTCCCGATCAATTATCTAGTGATTCGTACATCCACCCTCCGAGAAAATCACCTGGAGCGCGTCCGATCTCGTCAAATCTCGGGTTGCAAAGCGGGCTATATCTGTGTGTGTGAGCGTTCGTCCGCGTGCGTACAAATGCACGTATGGGGGAGCGTCACTGATAACAGCGGTGACTATTTTAAACGGTCCTGGGCCTCCCCTTAGACGAATCACCCTTCTATGAGTACCCACGGGATATATAAACATCAGCACCGGGGAGACAAAGGCGGCCAGGTGTGGTGCTGCCCACCCATCCCCTCGTGTGCCCTGCCGGCCTTCCTAGGTGCTCGCTAACCTACATACAAGACTATTCGGGTGATTTCTGTCTTTGAATGATTGTGTGTGCATGTGTATATATTTATATGTGGACAGCGGGAGTGTAGCGGTCAGCGCGCTGCGCTACGAACCCGGCGACCCGGGTTTGATTCCCGCTCATGGCCAACACCAGTGAGGATTATCTGAACCGGTGCTGGGCCTCCCCTAGGTCGACTCAGCCTCAAATGAGTACCTGGTACGGTGTGCAAACATCGCCACGAGAGAGACAAAGGTGGCCGGGCGTGGTGCTAGCCACCCACCCCCTCGTGTGCCGTTGTGGCCTTCATAGGTGCTACTCGCTAACAGCACTTTCCCCAACAGTCTGTTAAGGCTATACGGGGGGGGGGTCTTTGTCTTTTATTTGTATATAAAAACCCGTGTGTGTGTGCGTGTGCGTGCAGGTGTAACTGCGACCCCGTGGGCTCGTCGACGGGCGGCTGTGACCCGGTCACGGGACAGTGCGACTGCCATCCCGGCACCTCCGGCCGCTGCTGTGATCGGTGCGAGGGCAGCCATTTTGGATTCTCTCTCGAAGGCTGCAAGCGTAGGTCCCCTCATTGCTCACACACGCAGCCTGTGACGTTACTCACTCGTCACTCACACAGCCTGTGACGTCACTCGCTCGTCACTCACACAGCCTGTGACGTTACTCACTCGTCACTCACACAGCCTGTGACGTCACTCGCTCGTCACTCACACACACAGCATGTGACGTCACTCGCTCGTCACTCACAGCACACAGCCTGTGACGTCACTCGCTCGTCACTCACACACACAGCATGTGACGTCACTCGCTCGTCACTCACACACACAGGCTGTGACGTCACTCGTCACACACACAGCCTGTGATGGCACTCACTCATCACACACACAGCCTGTAACGTCACTCACTCATCACTCACACTGCCTGGCACGTCACTCACTCGTCACTCACACACAGCCTGTGACGTCACTCACTATGTCCCCCCCCCCCCCTCGCCCCGCCACGCGCAGCGTGTGACTGCGACACGTCGGGCTCCAAGTCGATGCAGTGCGACCAGGCGGACGGGAGCTGCCCGTGCCGCGAGGGCGTGACGGGCGCGCGCTGCGACCAGTGCCGCGAGAACTACCACTACAACCGCACCAACCCGGGCTGCCAGGAGTGCCCGCCGTGCTACCGGCTCGTGCGCGACAAGGTGGGCCGCCGCACGGTGACGCCACCGATGCCTCTGAGGCTTTTTTCCACCGCACGACCGAGCCGATGTGCCGGGAAGACTCGCGGCTACGAGCGGTTTCCCATCAGCTCGTGCGCCAAGCCGGGCTGGAACGGTGATACACGGGGGCCTCCGATTGGCAGGGTTGGCTACGTACGGTGCGAAAGAAGTTCAGCGTACATAGGCAAAGATCCCCCGTGTAGCCTGTAACAGACTGTTGGGGCAAGTGCTGTTCGTAGCAAGTAGCCGCACCTATGAAGGCCGGAACGGCACACGAGGAGGTGGGCGGCCAGCACCACGCCCGGCCGCTTTTGCCTCCCGAGTGGCGATGTTTTATACATCGCACCCGCTTTTACACATACATACACACGTACATACAGTTTAACACGTAGGCTTTCGCGACCAATGTTATTCATAATCAACGTTTTTGGGTTTAGATCGCGTTTATTTATAAATGTGTCGTAACCCTCCACCACCCGACACGGCCAATCAGTAAAAAAGTGTCACGTTGACACTTTTTGTGAACTATTTGTCTTTGTCAACGTGACACTTTTTTACTGATTGGCCGTGTCGGGTGGTGGAGGGTTACGACACATTTATAAATAAACGCGATCTAAACCCAAAAACGTTGATTATGAACACATACATACACACATACATACACACGTACATACACACGGGCCTAACAAGACATCTGAATTTGGCTTGGGGGCCAAGCAGGGCCAGGAGCGGTGCAAATTATGGCTTCTGGGTGCCTGATGACGTCATTGGCTGCGATGAAACTGGGTTCTTGACCGGGTGGTAGTGAGTTCATGTTCTTCTCGACAAAATGACTGCACTTAATTTTGCAGTGTTCTAACTCTTGATAATTAAAATATCGGATTCTGACCGTCAGGCGATGGGACCTCACGTGCAGAGCAAATGGGAAAGTGCTGCCCTCTGCTGTCCGTTGACAAGAAATGTTGACAAGAAATGTCACTTCAAGGTATCTCAGGTAGTTTCCGAGATATCCGCTTCCCGTGGGCAGTTCTGGAACGCTCTTCCTTCCGATATATTGAAACCAATTTTTTGTCGAACTGCTTTCTGTGTTTAGTTTGTTGTCCTTCTCCCGCACCTCTGATGAGCACGATTGGATACGTACGGCTCAAAAGAAGTTCAACGCACACGTACAAAACTTTTCTTCTGATATCGTACGACAATCCCAATGCCGCGTCTCTCCCTCGCCCCCCCCCCTCGTCCCGGCGCAGGCCCAGGATCTGCGCGAGCGCCTGCGTGAGCTGGAGCAAGCCTTCGAGCGCATCGCCTCCGACCCGGGCACCGGCACGGACCGCCACTTCGAGATGAAGCTGCAGCAGGCGGCCAGCGCCGTCGAACAGCTGCTGAGAGACGCACAGCACACGCAGAGTACGGCCCCGTCTCCGCGTCGCACTCGCGCCTCGCTCGCATCTCGCTCGCGGTGGTGCCCACCCCCCCCCCCCTGGAATGGCACGTTTTTGGAAATTGATACGAAATAATAAGCAGCCTTATAGCCTTTCAGTCCAGGTAGTTGTACGGGAAAGTTACCAAACGTCTTGGCTTGGCCTGGACAATCTTCCGTGGTTTCGAAAAGCCTTTCACCGGTGTGCCCATCAAAGCAATTGCGAATGTCAGAATTTCGTCCTCAGGTTAAAATGTTCCAGCCTCATGCTCCACTCACGCTGCAGACTAGGGGTGGTGCTAACTAACGGGACGTTGTAAAGCAACAGAATCCATGCATGCACATTGATGTTAACTACCTCACCTGGTATACAGGAGGTCGTGGGTTCGATCCTGACCCTGACTCTTCTATAATTTGGAGTTTGCGTGTTCACCCCGTGGTCACGTGGATCTTTCTCCGGGTCCTCCGGTTTTTACCTTCACATTTAGAGTCAACATCACGCGTTTAGAGTATTTGGCTGCTGTACATTTCCACACGACGATAAGCCACTTCGTTGAGCTGTTATTTGTGGCGCAGATCGCTTCTGAAGAAGAGCGAAATATCTCAGTGGGCCTTTTTGGCACTATAAAACATTTAACACGGAGACTTTCGTGACCAATATCATCCATAATACAGGTTTTTTTTGGGTTAGATCGCGTAAATATATAAATGTGTTGTTAAACCCGGAGGATTTCTCCACAAATCTGGCTGTCGCCTGATGAAGCTGGTTGTAATTACTGGTGAAACGTCGTACTCAGATTGTAAATGTTGTGGCTTTGCTCTCCAACACACCGGTGTGCTGTACTAGTGAACCTCCCCCCCCCCCTGTATTATGGAATATAAAACATTGTTTATAGTTGAGCTTATTCCACGCCCGTGCCTCCCGTACCTCCACCAGTGTCGGACCAGGGCCTGCAGTCCCAGCTGGATGAGCTGGAGCGCACGTTGGCGTCGCAGAAGGGCCGCCTGCAGAAGATGGGCGACACGGTGGGCGAGACGGACGGGGTGGCAGCGCGGGCCGGGCGGCGCGCCGGAGACACGCAGCGCATGCTGGAGCGAGCGCAGCACGAGCTGGAGCGGGCCAAGGCCGCCATCGCCTCCGTCGTACGTCGCAAGCGCCCCCCTAATGCCCCCCCACCCCCCCACACACACAACTACAACGGACCATAGGAGCAGCGGCGATACGCCGCCGTGGGAGATGCTCCCCCCGAGTTTGAAGTTGATTTTCTTACCTTGCCGTTACTTTGCCACTCCTCTTCTTGGTTCTTTCGGTAAAGTCACGTAGAAGGGAAATAATAAAAGGATGAAAATAAAACATAACGTCTAAGAAATGTAGAATTCCCCGCAACTGCCTCTGCAGGGCTGTCAGCGTGAGATGAGCACCTGCACCTCCAATGTTGATTTGAGCAGCAGACGTCACTTTGAATTCTCGAGACCTCATTACTTTAACTCTCACAGCCATTGGTGATTGAGCTGAGAGACCATAAACCCTGCTGCACTTTAGAAACTGTTGTTTGTTTAAATCTACAACAGGCAGCTGAAACCCATTACTTGAATCTGACTTATGCCAGCTCGGTTGTATGACTACAGCCACTATGAGCTCTCGGAGCCATCCAGGCGTTTTTGTCTCAAACAGAGAGGGGTAAAGGCGATGTCATCACTGTGCGAAGACCAGAGTGGGGGCGGGGGGGGGTGTTAATGTAGCCATGCGAGCCACAATACTGCGTGTGTTTAATGAACACGTCTGCAGTGACGTCTTTTTTTTTATTGCGCTTTATTTGCAGAACATCGATGGGAAAAACGTGACCGGGCCCAACAACTTCACAGTTCTGGCAGAAGAAGCGAGGCGTCTGGCGGACAGGTGCGAGGCGGCACGGACGGCAGTACTGATGACACCCACGAGGCTAGAAGCCGTCCACCTTCAGTGAAGCCCCCCAAGGCTGTGGGTGGCACCCACGGAGGCTCTTCCCAGTTTCGTTGTCCACCTGGCACGGGTCGATGCACTGTTTCGTTTCACACGTGCTGCTGCTGCTTGCAGGTTATGGATTGGAGACTCAATTCTTCACGGTGGCTTTTTGTGTTTAGTTTGTTGTCCTTCCACCACAGCTCCGGCTAGCACGGTTGGCTACGTAGGGTGCGAAAGAAGTTCGACACATTCTTACATACGAAGTGGCCTGTCGCCTGGTTGCATTTTTGGCGTAATGATGGGTCCTAGGATGGGATATCAGCCGTCGAACAATGACGGTTACCGCATCGCGCGCTTTCAGATGCGGTGAGTAAGTGAGCTGGTGAGTGAGTGGATGAGTGAGAGTGTTGTTGTGACCTGCAGTGTGGTGAGTGAGTGAGCTGGTAAGTGAGTGGATGAGTGAGAGTGTTGTTGTGACCTGCAGTGTGGTGAGTGAGTGAGCTGGTGAGTGAGTGGATGAGTGAGAGTGTTGTTGTGACCTGCAGTGTGGTGAGTGAGTGAGCTGGTGAGTGAGTGAGCTGATGAGTGAGAGTGTTGTTGTGACCTGCAGTGTGGTGAGTGAGTGAGCTGGTGAGTGAGTGGATGAGTGAGAGTGTTGTTGTGACCTGCAGTGTGGTGAGTGAGTGAGCTGGTGAGTGAGTGGATGAGTGAGAGTGTTGTTGTGACCTGCAGTGTGGTGAGTGAGTGAGCTGGTGAGTGAGTGGATGAGTGAGAGTGTTGTTGTGACCTGCAGTGTGGTGAGTGAGTGAGCTGGTGAGTGGGTGTATGAGTGAGAGTGTTGTTGTGACCTGCAGTGTGGTGAGTGAGTGAGCTGGTGAGTGAGTGGATGAGTGAGAGTGTTGTTGTGACCGGCAGTGTGGTGAGCGAGCTGGTGAGTGAGTAGTTGAGTGACAGTGGTTGTTGTGACCTGCAGCGTAGTAGTGGTTGAGACCAAGGTACCTGACGATCAACAGCTGTTGTTGTTGTTGCTGCTGTTGTTGTCGCGGACGTGCAGCCACAAGCAGGCGGCGGACGACATCGAACGGACCGCAAACCTGGCCAACGACACGTCCACGGCAGCCTACAACCTGCTGCGCAAGACGCTGGCCGAGGAGAACGACATGGGCGGCCAGATCAGCGAGCTCACACGCAGGTCGGTACTGCCGCTGGCGCGAGATTTCCACCACGGAGCGCGCAGGGAGCGGTGTGGGGGGTTTGGAGCAGGAGGAGGTGCTCTGACCGTGCCGGTCGAGTGCTCGCGAAGCTGCATTGGTTGCCGAATGAATCCGTTATAAGGTCGCACCCGTTGCACCAGTGGTTCATAGCCTTTACTGCAGCCTTGCACCCCTTTGGTTCTCAATCGTAAAAAAAAAACTATAATGTAAATAAATATGCAGAGGCGTAGCAGCGTCGTTGTTTTTAAAGACATTGTTACTCACCATAGAGAACTGTAGCGACACGACCGCGCTCTTCGATAGCTGGCGCCAAACTTTGCCACATGCCCCCCCCCTGCCATGGCCTTATGCGAGCCTCGGTACCGATAAAGTTGTTGTATTTTAGTTTTCTTCGGGTTACGTTCCGAAGAAAACACACGTGGACGTCATCGCAATGGTAAAGGCTTAATGCCGCCGTAGAAGACTTACAGATTTCTCGGACAGCAGCAGCAGCAGCTGCCCCGAAACGGACGACGACCGTCCTACGAATATCTCGCCGGACGGGCGGCTAGCCCTGCCAACGCACGGCAACGCGGAGTAACGCCGCGGTGTGCTCCTGCGCCGCTGTGCCGTCGCTCGCGCGCAGGGTCGGCGCGGCCAAGACGCAGGGCGCGCAGCTCGAGGCGCTGGCAGACGCCGTGCACAAGGAGGCCAAGGCGGCCGGCGACAAGGCCCTGCAGATCTACGCCAACGCCTCCACGTCTGTGCCCAACGTGGACATCGACGCCCTCCAGGTTCCCCCCACCGCACCCCCCCCAGCCCCGCACACCAGGCCTCGCCATTCGCGTCGGGCGGCGTACGTACGTGCGTCAGCTATCGTAGAGCGCGGTCGTGTCGTACGTACGTCCGTGCGTGCGTCGAACTTATTTCGTGCCCTACGTTCACCAACCGTGCCAACCGGAGGTGCGGGGGCTACGCCGCCGCACGTGGCTGCCTGCGGTCCAGTGCCGTGGAGGCAGCGGCGGCGGCGAGGGTCGGTGGATCACCGTACGACTGTTGCAATACTCCCTTCCCGTGACCATCGAAGAGAAGCCAGCCGTGCTTTGGCCCGCCAGGAGAAGGCGGTGCGGCAAAGTGCAAACTAATCTCCATCTGTCCCTTCTGTACGGGGTAAAGCGTTGCCCCCTCGCACACTTGGGTTTTCTCTGGGTGGCCCGGATTCCTCCCACGTATAAACACTCATCAATTGACCGATGACATCTTAATATATCGATGATTGCAGAGCTAGGGCCAACCGTTGGCACCGGCTCACCGGCTCTGGCTGCCACCGTCGGTTCATCGGCGATCGTGAGGTGCAATTTGCACGAATGAGACGTAAAACATTGCATCAGATATTGTTCAGCGCGACTGCCGCAGTGAAAGCATCACTCTACGTTTCGCAAACTGAAACCTCTCACTGTCTCTGTCTCTCTCTCTCTCCTCCCTCCGCTCGGTTCGCCCCGACCCACTCTCGTGTATTTATCCGCCGTGTTATCTTGCGGCCCGCCGCCTCGTAGGCCGGCGCCGACCGGGTTAAGGGTCGCGCCGCGGAGCTCGACGGCAAAGTGTCCGAGCAGCAGGGCCAGTTCCGCGAGCTGCAGGACGACCTGCGTCCCCGCGTCGACGAGGCCAAGCGGCTGCTGCAGCGCGGCAACACGGAGCAGCAGGTGCCTGGCGCTCACTTGGCTCGGGCCCACTAACCCGCGCGTGTGTGTGTGTGTGTGTGCATGTCTGTGTCTGTGTGTGTGCGTGTCTGTGTGTGCGTATGTGTGCCCGCGCGTCCCGTGTGCCCTATCCCTTGTGTCTCACATTCTCACGGGCACCCGCCCCAAACCCCACCTCCCCCAAATCTTTATGCGAAAAATCATAATAAAAACCACCACAATTAAAATATCTCAGCGGGACAGGAATAGGCTGCAGAGGAGAATCGAGGATTATCTGACACGGCTAGATTCCTCGACGAGAAAGTTTGAGTCGGCCTCTGCGGCGTCGCAGCCGACACAGACGGAGGCTCAGAGGCTCTTGCGGCAGGGGGACGCTGCCAAGGAGGTATTGTTGTTGTTGTTGTGCGAGCGGCCCGCTCGTGGGCCTCTTCTCTTGCCCGGCCTTGCTCAAGCGCTCTCCTGGACGCTTCGGGACAGAACCCCCCGCGCCGTTTGCTTATGGTGGTGGTGGGAATCTTTTGGCTTCGGTGAGACGGCGGGAGAGGTGTTTCCTGTCAACCTCTGCACCTCTCAACTTCGACGTTTGCCCTCCTGACGCTGGGGCTTCTGGGTTTTTTGTGGTTTTTAGTTTCGGCGGGCAGTTGCATGAAACCACGCTGGTGACAATCTCGCCCGGTTGACGCCGATTCTGGTGAAATAGTAGTCCGGGGAAGATGTCTCGCGGGACTTCTCCCCAAGCGGCCAATTGTGTCAAACAACTTTAAGAGACAATGTCGCTCAGTTTCCATTCTATGTCGATGTAAACGACGCGAGAGATTTTCGCTGAAGATGATTCATGCAACTGACCGCCCAGGCCTTTATTCATCGTGCTATAAGCAGTATCGCTAGTTTCAGAAAACTGGTGCCTGGGCTTCAATCGTTGGTGAAATGTCGAGAAGTAATTTTGAGAAAAATCGATAAATCGTCTCTGTCCACCCCCCCTCCCCTAACCCCCACCCAGGTTCTGGATCAGCTGTTGGCGCGCGCAAACGCCGCGTTCATCTCGGCCAAGGAGGCCGAAGGGAAAGGGAAAGCCACTCTCAAGGAGGCCACCGACACCCTCAACATCCTGAGAGGCAAGTTTCAATGCACAGTCGCAGGGTGGGTGGCACGGTGGGTGGGTGGCACGGTGGATGGCAGGGCGGGTGGCACGGTGGGTGGCACGGTGGATGGCAAGGTGGGTGGGTGGAATGGTGTATGGCAGGTTGGTGGGTGGCACGGTGGGTGGGTGGCACGGTGGATGGCAGGGTGGGTGGCACGGTGGGTGGATGGCAGGGTGGGTGGCACGGTGGGTGGGTGGCACGGTGGGTGGGTGGGTGGCACGGTGGGTGGGTGGCACGGTGGATGGCAGGGTGGGTGGCACGGTGGGTGGGTGGCAGGGTGGGTAGCACGGTGGGTGGGTGGCATGGTGGATGGCATGGTGGGTGGGTGGCGGGGTGGGTGGGTGGCACGGTGGGTGGGTGGCACGGTGGGTGGGTGGCACAATGGACGGGTGGCATGGTGGGTGGCGGGGTGGGTGGCAGTTTGACGGTGGGGTGGCACTTATTGCCTCACAGCAAGAAGGGCGAGGGTTTGATGCCCGACTTGGGCACCTTTCTGCGTGGAGTCTGTGTGGCGCCACCCTGGGCAGCAGAGTGGGAGTGAGTGTGTACATCTAGTCGAAATGTTCTGCCCCTGTTCTTCACCGGTTTCTAACAGGTTCTGCGGTTTGCTCCCATAACTTAAAAAAACACACACAATGTAACTGATATTGGCTACAACATCCCGATGCTGAAAAGTTACCAAAAAATCACTGACTTGGGATCACACACAACAGCAGCAGCGTCGCCTCCGTACTGCTGAAATTTGGCACGATTCCTCCTGTAGAACAGACTCGGCGAGCCTTTCCTGGATAAACAACTGCAGTAAAAATACTCACTATTACAAACTTTATTTTTTAACACATCCCCCACCCCCCAACGTATTACTGCACCACCTTCTGTTGGCAAGCCAGTACACGCTACAGCTGTTACTGCTGCTGTTACTGCTGCTGCTGTTCCTGCTGCTGCTGTTACTGCAGCTGCTGTTACTGCTGCTGCGACCACCACCGTTGCTGTGACTTGACCCCGCCACCCACCCTGCACCCCCCCCCCCCCCGCCCCCCCCCCCCCCCCCGCAGACTTTGACAAGCGCGTGAGCGACAACAAGACGGCGGCGGAGGAGGCGCTGCGCCGCGTGCCGGCCGTGCAGGCGCAGATCGAGAGCGCCAACGCAAAGACGCGGCAGGCCGAGGAGGCGCTGGGCAACGCCGCCAACGACGCCCGCGACGCGCGCGCGATGGCGCAGGACGCCGAGGAGATCGCGCGGCGCGCCCAGGAGGTAGGGGGGGGCGGGAGGGTGCCACGGACACGGCAGCGAGAAGTCGCTTCGTACCGTCGTTCGCTGTTCGTGTGTAAATATAGATATACGCGTGTGTGTGGGCGGTTTTGCAAGGAGGTCGCAAGCTGCGGCGTGGATACCGTGCAGGAGAAACTTTGGACGCGCGTGGGGAACGTCGGCGCTCTGTCGCAGCGGCAAAACACGCATCACATGCCTTCCCAACGCGAAACACACAGATACACAACGTGAACCAAATACCTTACTGACATCGCATAGAGGCATGGGCATCTTGTACTGGGGCCTTCATTCCACCATTGGCTCGTGGCTGTGGAGAGCAAGATGGGCACCAATGACCGCGTGCAGCAACTCCCGTCGCGTGGCGGGTGCCGAGATGTTAACTACCTCACCTGGTATGCGGGAGGTCGTGGGTTCGATCCCGACCCTGACGCCTGCTGCTGCTGTATATTTGGAGTTTGCGTGTTCTCCCCGTGGTCGCGTGGATTTTTCTCCGGGTCCTTCGGTTTTTCCACTCCACATTTAGAATCAACGTCACGCCTTTAGGGTATTAGCCTGCTGGACATTTCCACGTGACGATGAGCCACTTCGTAGAGCTGTCATTCGTGATAGCCAGGTCGCTTCTGAAAAAGAGCTGACATCGCTCAATGGGACCTTCTTAACTGGTCAAAAAAAAAAATGTGCTTACTACAGTTTTAACCGCCTTGTCCGCTGGGGCCCTGTCTCACCGCAGCGGGCGGGCGGCCTGAAGACGGAGGTGGAGAATGCATACGGGGACGCAGCGGGCCTGGCCGAGGGCGCCGCCGGGCTCCTCGCCGGCCTGGCTGGCGCCGAGGCTGAGCTGGCGCGCAAGCAGCAGGACGCCGCGCGGGACATGGACCTCGCCAACATGGTGAGCGCCGCCCCCCCCTAGCCGGTGCAGCCGGTGCACGTCACGTTACCCCCGGTGTTGCCATCACCGCCGGCGGTGCACCGACCGTGCTTGCGATCCCGAGATCACCGGGTCAATTCAATCTTCCCAGGTGCGGCGGTGAACTAAATCACCGCCTCCCCCAACCCCCTCTTTCCACCCCCACCCCTCCCCCCCGTCCTACCGGCACTGCCGTCCACATAGCGATTGGCAGGTCGTCAAGTGTGATGGGGTCAAATGTGGCGACTCCCACCTCTCCCAAACCCCTGTCTCGCCAGCCGTGCGAAAACCGGCAAAATCCCCTCTGAAGGGGCCGTCTCCGCAGAGCTCCCCTCTCATGGAGGCGCTTCTGCCAGCGATGGCGTGAGCCAGCCATTGCAGGAACGCTCCTTTACCTTTAAAATGTTAGTTTTTTTTATTGAATAAAGCGCGAGGCCCCTTTCAGCGCGCCGCCAGACTCGTTCGCTCCGACTCCGCCGTTCGAGCGGCGCATTCACGACGCAACTGCTGCACCATTTATTCGGAGGTGGGGGGGGGGGGAGACACGAAGGGGGAGTGGGTCCGTGAACTCCCATAAACCGGGCGCGTTATGACAAAGGGGTAAAGTGTGTTGCTTAAATGGAGGGAGGGGGGCAGGTTGGGGGGGGGGCGGAGGCGTTTACCTCTTAACTGGAGTGCTCCTTTTTCAATCGGCCGCGGGACGAGGGCCTCGCTATGCCAGTGCAGGTCGTGGAGGTCACGTGCCCATACTTCACCGCAACGGTCGCCGCCTGTTTGACAAAAGCAGGGAGCGGTAAACGTGAGGACCATAGAAGCGTGGTGCAACGGTGGATGCTGTCGCACTGCCCTCTGCTGCCCACCGCCCATCCCGTGCGCTATCCAAGCTCATGTCCCCTTGCTTGGCTTCCGAGAGTTGGCGAACATTCCCGAGTGATTTGGTCGTCAGCTGCAGTGCTTTGCTAATGACACTTGATGCTTGAGTTCTTTGCGATATTCCGGGTAGTAGTATTATTATTATTATTTCAGTGCTATCACTTTTACTTTCCCCCCTCACCCCTTCAGTTTCATTACAATCTTTCTAGCGGTGGAATATTAATTTGTGACGGCTCTCTGCGAGCAATGCATCATCCGCCCTGTGTCACAGAGCATGCCCCCAGAAGGTGATGTGGCAGAACTACATCTGAAGTCGCCTCAGTCACCTTTGAACCCGCGCGAGGGACAAACCTTTAATGTTCCCCGCAGAGCACTGAAGTCAGCCAAATCAAGTGAAAAAGTAATTTGATGGGATGTTATGTTTTTTTTATTTGTGTGCAGTCATTGGTTACTGGGGCAAGAACATCAACTCATGGTAGCGAGATGTTAACTCCCTCGCCTGGTATACAGGAGTTCGTGGGTTCGATCCTGACCCTAACGCCTGTATATTTGGAGTTTTCGTGGTCACGTGAATTATTTTTCAGATCCTCCGGTTTTTCCCTCCACGTTTAGAAACATGCCTTTTGAGTATTTGGCTGCTATACATTTCCACATGATGATAAGCCACTTCGTTGAGCTATCATGTGTGGCCAGATCGCTTCTAAAAATACATATCTCAGTGGGCCTTACCTGGTAAAATAAAAATACACTTCATTTTAACTCACGAAACTGGATAAGCTGGTTTTAATAACAGATGGCTGAAACTTGGAATCACACCCAGGATTTCAACAGTGCCGGCTCAGCGTTCTGACCTCTGTCCTCTGCTGCCACTCGGCCAGTGTTCAACAGCACCATCTTGTTGTTTGTTGTTGTTGTTGTTGCTCAGGCGGCTGAGGCGGCACAGGAGGCCGAGGACAAGGCGAGGAGAGCCAAGAGCTCCGTCAGCGGAGCCCTGGAGCAGATCGAGCAGCTCCTGCGTGACTTGGGTGAGCAGCAGCAGCATCACAGTAGCAGCAGCAGCAGTAACAGCGATAGAGGAAGTTAGACCGACAGTGGCAGCAGCAGTAACAGCCGCAGCAGCAGTTGCAGCAGCGACAGAGGAAATTACAGCAACAGCGGTAACAGAAATAGTTGCAGGTACAACGGCCACCGACCCCTTCGTGTGCCGTACCTACCCCATGCACTTTTAAATCTAGATCGAAAACTCACTTCTTTAGAACTGCTTTTTGTGGTTAATTTGCCGTCCTTCCCCTGCGCCTACGATTAGCACGGTCAGCTACGTACGGCGCGAAAGAAGTTGAACATACGCACGTGTATGTACGCGGCGGCCTTCGTACGTGCTACTCGCTCCCAACATTTGCCCCCACAAGCCTGTTAAGCCTAAACCTGGGTCGAACCTTCGTGTGTGCGCCCGGCAGGTTCCCTGGAGGACGTAGACCTGGGGCGGCTGCAGGATCTGGAGCGCAAGTACGCGGAGGCGGAACGGGCGCTGGCGGGCGGCGGGGAGCTAGAGCCGCGGCTGAAGCGCCTGGAGGACGCGGTGGCATCGCAGTCGGCGGCGCTGCAGGGCTACGACGCGAGCGTGGAGCAGGCGCTCGCCGACATCCGCAACCTGGAGGAGATCCGCGACGCCCTGCCGCAGGGATGCTTCAACGCGGGCGAGATCGAGAGGCCCTAAGCCTTGCCCCCCACCCCCTGCCCTAATCCTCCCATCCCCCCCTCCCCCCCCGCTTGAAGCGGAGGCGTCGAAGAAAATGTCATGACGAGAGGCGACTAATTTAAATTAACGACGGACAAAATCACGGAGAAGACAGACAGAGAGAGAGAGAGAAAAAATATATATGTGGGTGCTTCCGGATCGCGTGAACTGTGTCGAGCCCGCGGCGAGCGCCGCAGTGCGACCTGGGACATCACGTTGACCGCCACCTTCAATGAAAAAACACAGCGAAATACGGGGGGGGGGAAATTATGGATGAGTGAAAAATATATTGTCGGGGACGAAGCCGAATAAATGTAACTATATTTTTTAATTAGCGGGGATCCAATTGTCGCGTGCTCTTTTGACATAGTATTAAAACGCGATTGCATCCGGACGCAGAGTTTGTATGTTTTATTGTGCAAGCGATGCAGCCGGGAATTACCACGGGGGGGGGGGGGGGGGAGGCTCGCGTCTCGATGGAGGTCGCGCGGGGTCAGGAAGACAGATTTCGCGCTTTCGTTTAAAAACGCCGGCTACGAAGGTTGACGTCGCGATGGAGCGAGGGCGGTCGCTGGTGTTTAAATAAAAGCGCACCATCGCAAACCCTGCCCCCCCCTCCACGGTAATATTGTGGGGGGGGGGGAGGGATGGCTTCGTGCGACAAGAGGAATCGCGGATAAGTGGAGTAGACCTCGCGACGAGGAAGTCTTTCTCTCATCCTCCGTCCACGGATATCGGGGAGAGATCGCGGATGTCATGGCCTCTGCCTTCACGAGGGTTTTTTAGCTAAGAGGGATGGCAGATAAGGCGACTTCTACGGCAATTTCAAGGGAGGTTGTTTTGTCACCTCTGTCGGTTATTCGATCGCGCGAGCGCTTGAGGTCGCGCCCTCCGACGTCTTTTCGGTTAGTGCCGCCACGTTTCGTTCGCTCGCGACGTCCGACGTTTCGCTCCGCGCGCTGGCAGTTGACGTCGCGCGGAGACGACGCGTGATATACGATGCGGCTGACGCAGTCGGAGCACCCGTGCGCCAGGCGTTGCTGCTGTCGCGGCAGTATTACGTGCGGGATTGAGATCGACTCGCACACCGCACGCCCAAGCGAAACGTATTTACTCCCCACGGCGCTATGCGGCCCGAACCCATAACCCCCAACAGATCGCGGATGCCAACTGCAGTCTGCTTATTGGCTATGGCCCAACCGTAATAGATGTATTATCACTCGTCTTCTTGCAAGGCGCGTGGAACAGATCCGGAGGTCGTGGGGGCAGGTAGCCATGGGCACCTTATGTCGAGTAATCGAGGACTCGTGAAGGTTGTACCGTGAGGGGGGCAACAGAATCAGACTCCGCTTGTTCAAAAGTGGGTGGGGGGCAGATACCCTCCCTGCACCCATGTTCCCACAACCCACGTTACTTTGTGGATTTTCAAGGCGGGAGACAGCTTGGCAGCTGCGGTATTTTCGCCCCCGGTGATCTTGTGTGCTGATGTTTCGCCAGGATGATATCGCCTGTGTTGTGCCAGTTGCTGGTCCCTAGAACGGCGAGTCTGATTCGTTCAGGAGGCACCACAAGATTGAAAGTGCTCCCTGGGCTATTGGGTGTCAATTTTCGCCCTCGAGTTTACTGTTAAATGGCACACGTGCTATTTAAATCCACGAGGTGCTTGATAAAAAAAAAAACTATATTAAATCACCATTTGAATATTAACCAATACAGTGGCTTGTTTCTAATTAGCGCTAAACACGTATTGCCACCTTGTTTCCGAACAATAATAACATTAACTATGAAAAATCTATTAAATTATGAATGCAATAATTATACACGACAACGGAAACATTTGAGCATTCATTTCTTATCATTTTTATCAAATGTGCCCTTGGAAATCTGTTAGTGCTTTTCGTCAAGATGCGACACGCAGCCCGTGTCATCGCTGAACCACATGCCGTTCGCCTGCTGGCCAGTTCACACCGGCATGTCACGGTATTGCGACTGCCCACAACGTGGTATCTATTTTACTGACCGCGGGAGGGGGATGATGGGCTGCACTTCTCAGATGGGATTCGATCTCATGGCTCACATTAAGGTCGGGGCACTGCGCAAAAAATAAAAAGTGTGATAGTCGCAAAGCAGGTCGGCGACTTTATCTACCAAGTTGCAATTTGTGTTGTGCCCAGTTTAATTTTCTGCTAAAAACAACAATTCGTGTGATTGTTTTTTTAATTATAAATATGCGTACACTATACACTACGGTGGGTAAAAAAAGGGGCTTTGATGACGGGATGTAGAGCAGAGGTCGCAACCGGGTACCCGATACCCGTACCCTACCCGATACCCGGCTACCCGTACCCGGCCGGGTACGGGTACGGGTACCCGTTTGCGATACTGGTGCGGCCGGGTACGGGTAAGGAATCAAAACCCGTTTGCGACATCTGATGTAGAGAGCCCGATTTGCCCCGCAAGCTCGTGCAACTTTCACTTTGCGTTTCTGTGTCGCCGTCCACAGGCAGAGTTGGCAGAGGCGTCGTGCTGCAGTTGCTTCAATTGCTGCTGTTGATTCAGTTGCGTCTGTTACTTCTGTTAATTAAGTTGCCTCATTCAACTTAAGCACAAAATTTAGACCAACGGTTTGTTACAGCGCGCCCGGATTTAAGAAAGGCCAAGTTTTGTTTAGTATCCATAATAGAGGGTTTTTTTTGGGGGGGGGGGGTTAGATCACGTAAATATATGTGTGTCGTTAAACACGCCACCACCCGACACGGCCAATTAGTAAGAGGGTTCGTCACCTAAACAAAACGTGTGCCAATTCGTTACTAGCACACCACACCGCTAAAATTTCGATTTAAAGCTTTCGTGATTGCAGGGATTCATCTTCTTGGTTCTTTCGGTAAAGTCACGTAGAAGGGAAATAATAAAAGAATAAAAATAAAACCCACGACAACATTTACATCGCGAAGGCCTACGTGTTGAGCTCGCTCCCTCATAGACTGTCTAAAATACAACACACGAAAACGATACTTTTTATAACGATGTAAAACACTCTCATTGGTGACTACAGCAGATTGCCATATTCTACATCACCCTCTGATCGATTCATCCAGTCCTGGATCTCTTTATTTTTCCTCTTATTTGATCGTCTCTGAAGATTCTAATTCGATTCATATGGTGCCATTTGAAATACGGTCTCTGTGGCGGCAACGTTGTTGTCATGGTGAAGGGCTGTTCGTGCTCCTTATCTTTTGTATTTTTCCCGTGAACATTTCCGTAGCATATGCCTCTAACATAATGCTGGGAAGATGTCCCTGCATGCTTATATTTCCAGCGCTTAACCTCGTTATTTATAAGTGAAAGCAGCCTCGATCCAAAATTAAAGCGGGTGACGGTGTAAAGGTGCGATGCTACGAATACAATGTATACGAGTATGTGCGAGGGATGTGTTCCCAATTTTTTGGGGATTAATCTGACTTGTCCAAAAATCGAACATCGCTCCGAAATATTGATCAGAATGTGTGACGTCACATGAAGCGATTTCACTTCCACGCTTTTCCGCACCAAAACCGTCCGTATTGTGACATCATTTTGCCGACATCTAAAACTCATCCCTCGTACGCACAGGTCACGTTGGCCGATCAGAGTGGACCATCATCATATCGCCACATTCTGTAATTTAAGACCTAATCACCTATGCCATTGTGGCATGGCTCTTCTGCACCGAGTTATACGTCCTTTTGCAGGGGACGTATTCTCTTTTGCACTCTGATTGACTTAAGAGGCAACGGTCTTTAAAATCAACAACCCCTTTCCCCAAAGAAATTGACCACTTGTCCATCTCTTTTGCGCTAAAGTGGTACAGTCCCATCTATAAAACCACGGCACACCGCCAGGGCCACCCACAGGTTCCTGGGGGCCTGGAAAGACACCAGGCCCTGGGGCTTAATGTGCCACGCGGGGTCACCTTACATCGGTGGTTCTCAACCGGGGGTACACGTGGCAATGTCCCAGGGGGTACGTGAGGTCATTTACAAATGTGTGAAATTATATCACACGTGAGAGTCATTGGCGAATAATGATCATGTCGTACGAATCTTGCCAGCGTAAAATAACTACGATACAATTTAATTCCACGTGGTAACCTACAACGATGTAAAAGACCTTTTCTCAACTCATTGATCTCAAACAAAAGTGGTTTGCAAGAGTAAGTAGCGAGCGCGAACAAAGTATGTCACACATGAAGAGCGTCCGGTGACTTTGTCGTTATTCGCTTGAAGTCACTTAGCTCGTTAGGGTAACCTCGCGCAATGTACAATTGGTTAAAAAATTGACGTGTCATTGTTCGTGCAACACGTCTTTTGCTGTGATGTTTACATCGCAAACTGCAGCCGTTCCATCTGTTTGCAAGGCTGTGGCCATATTCTTGCTTTGTTCCTCGGCAAGTGTCTGCTCGTCTCTGCACACTCAGGACAACGAGAAACGATCAGAGCTCACTGCCCCTCGAATGTGCATGTGAGCAAGGGAAGCACCATCTTTGATCACGTGATACGTTCGCCCTCGAGTAGAAAATTACACCCCATTCAGCCCACAATCTTTACCAAAAAGCACCGGCGAGAGGTTAAAGTGTCCCCTTACTTTTTGGGACCTTCGCCCGTCGGCGTTGTGCAGGTCATATGTTGCTCGAGGAATCTATCTTCGCTGTGTAAGCTTTACGTTGCTAAAGGATGTGTCATTGTTAAGGATGCCATCAGTGGCCCAAAGATCTATCGACATTGAGGAGGCTGAGTCGCCCACCTTCTGCGACCGCCAGTGAATTGATCAATCATCGCCGTTTTCCAACTCACATTTTTGGTGGTCCGATCGTGGCGCTGATTTTATATTGGTCGACGGAGAGTGCTCCGCACTACGATTGACCCTTTCTAAGATACAAGTTGCGTTTTAAAGCTGGTCTTTTAATGAAATGTATGTTTGTTGAGATATCACTTGTATAGTTTTTAGTTCACGCTTGCGATGCGGCTCACAACAATTTAGGTTCGCATTCACCTTCACGTGCATGGAATCAACTTTCATTATACCTGAAACGATCTTCTTTTGGCAACTCGCACACCACTCGCTGTTTCTTTCACGCATCGGCCGGAGTGATGTCAAGCAAACCGAGTGGCGTCTCATAGATGTGGGGTGGCCAAACCGTGGGTTCCCTAGTCACGTGCGGCTCTCGCCAGGTCCGTTTGTGGCTTGGTAAGAGACGCGGCTAACCACGTCTGACTCTTGAACGTAACGTTACTTTAAACAGAAAAACTAAACATCTGCAGAGGCAGAGCTGACATGGGGCACTTGCCCCACGGCCAGTTGACACAAATGAACCGGCCGCGGTGGCGAGATGTTAATTCCCTCGCCTGGTATGCAGGGGGTCTTGGGTTTGATCCCGACCCTGACGCCTGCTGTGTATTTGGAGTTGGCGGTGTTCTCCCCGTGGTCGCGTGGTTTCTTCCATTTAGAATCATGCGTTTGGAGTATTTGGCTGATATAAATTTCCATGTGATGAGCCACTTCGTTGAGCTATCATTTGTGGCCAGGTCGCTTCTGAAAAAGCTATATTGCTCAGTGGGCCTTACCTAGTAAAATAAAAAAAAACATTTGTTTAGTTTCATGCCATCTGCTACTGTGGCTCATGGCTATGTGAAGGTATTGATCGTAGGGTCAAGAGGTTTGGCCATCCCTGTTATAGATGATGCCTCTTAATAACAATAGCAAGCTGACAGGTTGCATACATTTCCACCATACTTACTCCCCCATGCGCATTGTCCAGTTGAAGTGCAAAGGTTGAAGTTAAACGATGTTCAGTTGATACTACTATTGCTCACAACAATTCCGACATGCAGATTCATGCTCGCAAAGCTACCCAAAAGTAACCTGTTGTTTGGCCGAGGAAGCTCTAGTTTCAGAAGAGCTCTCCCGGTATACCGAAGCACTTGCAAAAATAAGTATTTCGTCTCGGTATGAAACGTTCTGGCTTCCCGCTTGACTCATCATACAAGGAAAGGGATGGGGCTACACCCAAGTAGTGGACAAGGATGGCAAGAGTTAGGCCAGGGCCTATGGACAGTAGTGTCAGAGCGAGCCACTCGTGGTGGGTTGAAGATAGTTGTTGAGTGAGCCTGGCTCACTGGAAAGGTGGGCAGATCTGATGGAGGGACGGGGGCGTGGGGGTGTCGGTGCTTCTCACCACGCGTCTCCCTTGAGCCTCACAGAGATATTTGGGAGCCTCACAGAGATATTTGGCAGCCTCATGAACCGGGTCCGTTTATGATTGTCACGGGATTACAACACTGGTGGGATTGGAGAGGGTGGCGGGGTTGTCGCACGTAACATCTCAGCGACTCGTGGGAGTGAGAGGGGATGGTCCGCGGTTGATTGACAGCGCTGCTCGGGGTTAACGCCGCCGCCACCGCTGCTGCTGCTGTGAAGATAATGGCAGCTAAAGTGTTTCCGTGCCAAGGTGTGCACACCTATTTGTGTTGCTGTAAATGCGACTTTGCGTTTTCAATCTGAAGTCACATCCATTTTGTTATTTGAAATATAATTATTGGTTGTTTTTTTCCCCCCGTATTATTTCCCACAGCCTGAATAATCTCAAGTAGACCCGAGTCCCATGTCTCGATATTTTGCGTTGATTTATCGACTAAGCCATTTCAGCCGAGACATCTAAGAAATAATGGCGGGGGGGGGGGGGTGCTGATGTTTTTGTCATTGGGCCTATACTGTATGAACTTATGTTAATAACGCAAAAAAGACATAATTATATAGGTGGCTAAATAACAAGTCACTGCAGTACAGGGTGCTGTCAATCAAAAAGCAAGCAAGAACCGCAAATTGTAAATGTTGTAACGTGTGCCATGCGATGTTGGACGGTATAAGTTAGACCGAAACAAAATTGCATGCAAGAGTGATGCACTGTTGAACTTCAGCTGAGGCTTTTCAAAGGACAAGTCCTAAGTAAGCATGGAAGGTTGTTGGGCCAACCTTGGCTCTACAACGGTTTCAACCACATGGCTCAACATTGCCATGGTTTACCAGGGTGGTCTAAGCTTCTAACCATTACACCTACACTGCTAAATCGTTTTTGTACACATTTCTACTCAGAGGTGACATGGCATGCTTCTTGACCTCTGACATTCATTTTAAAATATATATTATTTAACACAGGTCAAAATGTCATGGTTTTTTTTAATGTATTAGTAAGCTTCTGTGAGTGCAGTTTGCTTAGAGACTGCACTGCAAAGCCATATTGCGCTATAATATAAGTTCTGTAGCTCATTAAGGTGTTATTTTGATTGTATTTTAGAAATAAATTGCAATGTTTCAACTGATACACTGGTGCTAATGGAAACATATAAAAGATGTTTTAAAAGGAAATATATGGTTGTGTTTTGAATTTCAGTTCGGCCGATTTGCTTTTATCATGTGAGTGTGCGTTCCTTTTGAATGTTATAATCATATCTTATTAAAGGGATGTAATTGCATAACATTTTACAAAATATGACTAATTTGTGGATTTTATCATTTTAAAATTGTAAACATTTACACTTGCGTTTTAAGATGTGGCGATGTAAAATATTAAAATATATTCTGAGAGACTTTTATTTTACATCCCAAAATATATAAACATTTGTTTTACGGATTTATCATATACTTTTTACTTTTCAAAAGCTTAACTTTTTTAATTAACGAAACAAATCCTGACTCCAGCTGCTGCATAAACCAGGGGTGGATTGAACCCTGTGTGGAGTCGCCTAAATTAGTAGTGCAGGCCCCGTTCCTGCAGCCTCATTCCATAAACTCTACGCAGGTGGACGCAGTTGCATATCCTCACATTAACAATGCGCGCGGTGTTTTCATAAAACAAAATAAAAGATCCATCACGTCGCTCAACTTGCAGACGACTACGCTGGACCGCTTTTTCCACTGCACACCAGAGCCGCACCGGGGCTTGCCGAAGCGGCCCGACCCGCCTACACAAGGCGCAGCGTTCTCCCGACCTCACTCGCGATGTATAGGTGATGCCTTGTCCTTCACGGCGTACTGACTGACGTGTTGTGGACGCGTTATATCAGCCCCTCCCCTGGCGCTGCTTGGCCCCGAGCCAGTCCCAGCCAATCACCACCCGGTGCTGGCTCGGCTTGGCAAAATCGCCAGTCGGGGGGAGGGGGGGTGGAAACATCGCATGGTGCTGCGAGGGGCTCCCCGCTGGCTTGGCTCGAGTGTGCCAGTGGAAAAAAAGGGGATGTTCAAGTGAAGCCCCGTTCTATTACTAAACTATAAACTTTTTATTTTACCATATAAGGCCCCACTGAGCTATATAGCTCTTTTTTTTCAGAAGCGACCTAGCAAATCACAAATTATCGCTCAACGAAGTGGCTTATCACGTGGAAATGTATACCAGCCAAATACTCTAAAGGCGTGTTGATCCTGAATGTGGAAGGAAAAACCAGAGGACCCGGACAAAAATCCACGCGACCACGGGTAGAGAGACATGCACACTCCAAATATACAGGCGTCAGGGTCGGGATCGAACCCACGACCTGCATACCAGGCGAGGAAGTTAACATCTCGCCACTGTGCAGATAGCCTGGCACATGCGCCGTGGTGACGTCGCCACCACTTAGTGCGGAACGGCGGTTGCTGTCAAAGCGTACCGACTGACATCACACAATGAACACTTCCTTAGCAACGCCACTGGACCTGCTTGGCCCCCAAAGTCTTATGAAGCCGGCGGCGCATCACGGTTTAGTTGCAGCTCGGTTTATGCTAATAGCCAGTAGAAAACCGGCCGTGCCGTGACGGCCCCACACTGGCTCGGCTCGGATGTTCCAGTGGAAAGGTCGCTAAAATAGTCCGCGTGTCCTGAATCAAGCAGCACGAGTATTGAGCATCGACACGAAGACATTTTAGTTGAGTTAAATCCCCGATATGTAAATTGCATATCGTGGTCTGGATGTGGCTGAAATGGGGAGAGATGACTGGTGTTATGTGCGATAAGAGGGCCCCCCTAATGGACAGCCACACCCGGACTTTGTGCCTCCTCCCGTGGCAGCCGGAGGGCGTGGAGGCAAGCACTCACACATAAACACACACAAACAGACTCGACAAACAAGGAACAACAATATCTATAATACAGGATGTGACGTTACAGGCAATGAATGGCCCTTCTTCATAGCGCATAGGCAGAGAGATGTTAGTGGATAATACTAATAGTTGAAGACAGCGCTTATACGCTATGGGACATGATGAGAATTAAATTTTAAAATGTGCTACTAATGACCGGTTTTTAAATTGGCCTATCAATATTTACATCATAGCTATTAACATGCAAACCCTCCAATAATTATTAGAAAAGTACTGCTAAGTACACTCATTTATATCTAAAAGCACAATTGTGCTTGTGGACTGCCAACACAAGCATTGATGTGCGTAATGGCCCTTCATTGTACACAAGCATTACCAACATGTGTCCGATGGACAGACTTGCCCGCGCCATAGAAATGTGGAATGCCCACCACTGTCTCAGGGCTGTAAGCGGAAGATGAGCAACCCGCGTCAATGTTCACTTGATGAGCAAAACCACTTCGACTCGGAGAGAAATGTGCACCGTGCCAGCAGGTTTCGTACGGCCGATGGAGATGCCAGAGCAGGCAGCTCACAATTTCACATTCATGGGGTCAAGCCAGACAAACCGTCAAAAAATGAACCCGTAAAAACAAAGTTTTTCACTATAAATCCTTTATATGCGTGGCATCGGTTTTATTTTGTTATTCATTTCTGTTTTTCTTGAGTAAGAGTTTCATTTTTATCACATTCGTATTTTAAGTTAAATATGAAAAAAAAAATTCTTAAAAAGTGGAAAATTTAGGAAAAAAATTTTCACGAAAATAAATTGTCACGCACAACGAGTCTGTGTGCAAAATGTCAGCTCGATTGGATCACGGGAAGTGGGTTAAAAAAAACGACCGAAAGATTTGCACGGTCGTAAGCGCGCAAGCAAGCAAGCAAGTGAACTTAATATAAAGGATTTAAAAAAGAGGTTTTGTTGGGTTAGATCGCGTCAAGTTTAAATATGTCGTTAAACCCGCCACCACCCGCCACGGCCAATTAGTAAAGGTTTGCCATGTAAACAAAACGTGCCAATTCGTTACTAGTTCAGCACACACCGCTTGTGTGTTGAAGACTAAATCCACGACATTTACAGGCAAGCGTGTGAGGAGCGGCGGCCCGCATCGCTCTGATGTCTCCCTCGTATTTATGGACCGGGCATTGCGTCATAATAACTACGTTATGGTTCATTCTGGATGACCAACAGTCGCACACTGGAGAGTTTTTAAAGTTTACATTTGTGCATCAGGTATCATCATCTGCCATGGTTTGTGCAGTGGATGGCATGCGGTTCGGGGTGGACCATGTGCTTCGTGGAAGATCAAAGCCAGGGATCTTCTGCGTCGTGCCTTTCGCAAGGTGGCAGTGTGGTGCAGTAATTGACTTGTGCTCACACACACACAGTCTAAATAGCATTGTATTGCTTTCAAATTGGGTTGGGCAATCGAATGCCAGAGCTGGAAAGTTCATATTCATATGGCAAAGACCAGTGATCCCTGAATACAACAGGCGATGTTCATCCAGACAGCGCTATGTTTACTGTCCCCAGAGAGATGGCAATGATGATGATGATGACAATGATGTTCGTAATGGCCCTTCATTGTACATAGAGATGACAAGCCTCTCTGGTCAGACCTCTCTGGCATCTGTGTGTTATGAAGAAAGTCCATTGCCCGAAACGTCACCTATTTATATATGTCATACTTTTTCGTTCAAGGTTGTGTTATTGACAAATGTGTTGAGTGTTTGCCATTTGCCCCTGTGCACCACTGCGATCGAAACGTCGTAATCTATTAATTTTCTATCTACGTGACTTTACCGAAAGAACCAAAGAGTAATAATAATAATACACGTGTTGTCTCTTTCCCTGAAACTCCAGTCTTGCACAAAAACGACACACGGCACACCACTGCGCTGCAGTGATATCACGTGGATATGTTGCTACGCTGCAAGATACTATTACTGTACACTGGTGTAGTGAGAGCTTGGAGACAGGGTGGGAGTTGTTGGTTGCCGTTTGTGATGGCGTGTTTTTGTAAAGGAGCTAAACTAACCTTGGAAAATGCCCCTGGGACGATCCCTGTTGGCGCGGCGAGCCTGGGAACGCTGAGAAAAACGTGGGACAGGTCTGAAATAAGTGAGAACTGCCTTGTGTGAGAAGCGAAATTGCGTCAGCTCCACTGTTTACACTCTTGGCATCGCTGGGGGAAAAAGAGGACTGCACAATCACCAAGTTACTGGGTCAAATCGGGCTAAGACTCAACGTGGAACGTTGGGCCAACAGTTCCAACCATGTGTGAACGTCGGCATGTTTCTTTTTACTGGGAGCAGTCCTTCCCAACCTTTTGCTTGCCCTGTACTCTCTCTCTCGGGTCCCCACCTTTCCCAACTGTAGATCAGACTCAGGTTCCTATATTTTATATTCGTCAGCACGGGGGCTATTGTCAAACCTGTGCAGTTTCCTGCAATACGGTACAGTACCGGTACCAGCAACTGGGTACGGACGTTTTGCTCAAAATATCTTCCAGTATTTGGTGTTAACAGGAGGGTGTGGTGGGGGCTTTAATATTTGAACAAGCCAGATTTTATGCTAATTTATTTGAGTACCGTAATTGCATACAGCAGGAAATAGGCTAAATTTGTATCACGTTTACACGCAATGTACACCCAAGGCATGTAGTTACACTTAACAAGCGGAATAACGATTAACTAAATATCTTTAATTTTAAAATCACACCTGACACACGCGTAACACCAGACGAGAGGGCTTCATTACAGCCGAAGCTGTCCGTGGCTGAGCTCCAGAAAAATGAACCCGTAAAAACAAAGTTTTTCACTATAAATCCTTTATATGCGTGGCATCGGTTTTATTTTATTATTCATTTCTGTTTTTCTTGAGTAAGAGTTTCATTTTTATCACATTGGTATTTTAAATTAAATATGACGTTTTTTTTTTCCTAAAAAGTGGAAAATTTTGGAAAAAAAATTTCACGAAAATAAATTGTCACGCACAACGAGTCTGTGTGCAAAATGTCAGCTCGATTGGATCACGGGAAGTGGGTTAAAAAACCTACCGATAGATTTGCACGGTCGTAATCGCGCAAGCAAGTGAACTTAATATAAAGGATTTAAAAATCACACCTGACACACGCGTAACACCAGACGAGAGGGCTTAATTTCAGCCGAAGCTGTCCGTGGCTGCCACACCCCATCGTCCCAGAGTCGTGATCGAGGCTTGGGAAAGAAATCCCTGACCTGACAAAACACTCGGCACATGCCACCTGATTTAC